CCTATCGGGCTTCTGAATAATTTTATGTAATAAGGAAAATTGTAAATGGGCATTCGACTCTTGATATTTTACACCGGCTATCAGTAGACGACGAAACGGCTCATTCATACACCACGGGAATCAATTACCTGTATATTTATTTACGTAAATACTACTCTATTGATTGTAAGATTCTGATTAAAGTCGTTTTCATAGTATGCTATTCAAACTAATGATAACAGTTATAAAGAACAAAATACAAAAGCATCGACTAAAATTATCCGAATCATTAGTCACAGAACAATAAATAAAAGATTTTCCACTCCAATGGAGTAAATGCATCCGAAATAATCAACTGGGGAGAACGGAACAAAAAAGTCACACGTCTCCGGACATCATTTACATTTTCCATTACAGAGGCGATAAAATATTTATGGACGAAATAACATTAAGAAAACGCCGCTTGTTTCTTCTAACATGTATGTTTAATGCGTTGGTAATCTCACGTCGTTTGATGTCGCTCAAAGAGCTGCCACCGACGCCTACGAAGCTTAACTGGACTTCACGAAGGACTCCCTAGGACCATCCCTACCCCTCTTTAAATTATTCCGGGAACGATCTGTCGTAGAAATTGTTACTTAAGAACTTAATCGACGCGTTGCTCTTTGTCTGCGAAACAGATGTTTTTTCAAACAACATTCATTTTATTGAATTCCAATTTTACTGTCTCCTTTTGTGTGCTTTTTACCTCTGATTTTAAATTGGTTTCAATTTGTTTTTGGTATTGTTTAGTATATTGTTGTCGTTTACTGATATTGGTGGTCTATAAAAATGCTATACCTAAATAGTAACTTATTTTTGAATATAAAATATAGGCATGTGATGGATAAAAATCTTAAGTCCTCATTAATACGTCAGCAGATCCGCCGTACCGTATTACCGCCAAGGTAACCGTGACGCGTTGCCAACCCGTGCGTGCTTCAGATTTACCTCAAGCTACTAATTAGCGCCTTGTGCTCGTATTACCATGTTAATCGTATCCTCTCTGTATATACTCCGGTGAACATTTAAATGCACTCCTTCATATAGTTGATTTGTACACGAGTAAGTGTAAAGACATTTGTGAATTTTTAGGTCTTAATAAATTGTTCTTCATCGCTTTAACATTTACAGAAATTAGTTAAGATTTGCAACGCTTCATTGCAGGTAGGATTGCATCTGAAATATGGATGTGATTGGATCTTAGCCGACAACCTAATTTCAGTAGAAATCCAGTTTATCTAAAATTAAAACAAGTAACAATATGAATGTAAAAAGACCCTTCAGTCATGTAGAGCGTCAGCTTTGTAGCATACCTGAATGCACTTCATTCATATTAAACTTCATATCACCATCACATTGCACATACACACGAGCGAAAACGCATTTCTAAAGAGCACATCTCAAAGAGCAACGTTACAAAAAGCACGTCCTTACACACACACAATGGTAGAAAAATGTATACCACACTGAATATCGATTTCAAATAAAATTGCAACCTTTCAGATAACGAGGTGACATTTCCCCTTTTCCGGGACCCGTTTGTCGCCCTTGTCGTACATTGGGAATTTATCCACCGAAATAAGCAGATAACGAATATAATGGCATCTTCACACGAGAAATACGATTGGCTCGAGTCGCTTCTGTGAAGTATCGCGATGTTGCGAAGCTGCATTCTTGAATTATTGGCTACACTTGATCCTTGAACGGGTAAAGGAGTAGGTTTTATTTGTAAGGAGACCTATTCATGCCATTTTGGATATATCTTTTTGATAGTTAGTTGAATATTAAACTACAAATCTATTTGGATAACCTTGGAATACGTCGGAATACCATATGAATACGAATGTATTCATATAACATGTTCATTCATATACTTGAACGTAAAATGTAGTGTATATAATTGTAATTTCATTATAATGTGTCCCATTAACCAAAATAATTTAAGATCAAGATCTAAATGATAATTACTCAAATATTTAAGTAACTACATCGACACATATAAACAAGTTGAAATCGCAGCGTAACTGTACATGTAGCATTTGCGCATACACAGATATAATGAAACATGGCGTCTTGTGTTTCAATAAGCTCCTAATGATGTCCGCCCACTGCGACGCCGTTGCTTCTCTATACTTGTTGCTTGACACGGTGGTACTACAAGAAAAAATATGCAGAAGTACCATTCAAATAATCGAAATCATATGCCACTTTTACAATGAAATTTAGAATGTGGAGACAAAGGTTGACATAAGGACCACGAAATCTATCCAAAAACTTAACTTGAGCGATCGTCTGATGAGAATCAATTTTAGCTGAACTTTCTAAACGTCTCTATTTTAATATCTCTTTATTAGATTAATGATTTTCCAGAAAGCAGAAGCGCTCTAATGCACATTATGCGATGTAATGGTAACACTATTTTTCCGAACTGTACTTGCTTCTTGCATCTACCATTGGTTTGTTTCTGCATCACCCAAAGGTTTGGCAGATAGAAAATGCCCACGATATTATACCTTACTCGTATGTACATGTTTTTTTTTGCGTGAAGTGTAAAAATAATGAAATAACATACCACTTTTCATCTATTCAATAAGAACCTTATGTAATAATGAAAAACCCTCAACAATACTTTACTCAGGAATGTAACCCGAGATCACTCGATCAACGAGACAGTTAATATGAAGAAAATTCTTTGCAATAGATTCTATGCTATTTTACAACACTACATTGAAATGAACTTCTGAACGAAACTGCCCTGTGGTGTTACAGCAGTGGCTGTAACAAGATAACACTAGAATATAGTTTATGTGATGGTTCCTACTATACGCTTCTTTATATTACTTAGCCATTGTCTTCTAGTGCCCTGATAATGGATATTCAATTCAACGTCTTTTATGCTACACTGCGGACTTAAATACCTATAGATATAGCTTCTACAGACATTAGGATTTTGAAGTTTACTATATTTTGAGGCCGTATATGTTTTGTTTTTGCTATAATATAGGAGATGTTTCTGATTCAGTTTTGTACATCCCTTGTCTATCTGTTTTTCGCGGTTTACACGATATTAATCAAAGAGTCCAAATTATGTTTTATTTTTGGAACTGCGACTTTAGGCTCTCGTTGACACTCTTGAAATGCGAAATGTTAATAACAAACGCATATGACAAATAACAAAATAGTATTTCTTTCATATTACATCTACTACCATTACCATTTATAGCATTTTTAACAAATCTTCTCTTTTGCCGACAGATTCTTCTACCTATACCACTTCTCATTCTACGCGTACCACTACCGGTTCAACGGGCAATACAGCAGTCTTGCTCTCGTCACATCGTGGCTCTTCATACAGGCAAGTATCTCTTACAAAGAGTAATAATAATTCAACTCTGGTTTTTAAACATGTAAAGGCTTCCTTCTATAGTCTCAGATAATGAGGTCCTAAAACTACTACGAAAACTCAGCTTTTAAATTTCTTGCTTTTTTATTGTACTGTGGTCAATGTATTGCCGAAGACTCACGCCGGCGCCGTGCAAATAAGTAGAAAAGTAAACTAATATCCTCTCATAAATCAACATTCAAACTCAAACCGTAGTACATAAGTCAAGCAAATCGTGTAACATAAAATAATATACAGTAAGTTGCGTCTTTCTATTTGCTCGTCCGCAAATGTGATATGATGACAAATTGCAACTAGCCTATTTACAGAGTGCAGTGGCGTGTTTGTTGAGGGCACTTTGATGTCGGTCAGAGCCCGCAGGCGTCACGCACTCGCCACGCAGACCCACGGACTTGACGCTTTATACATAAACTGTTTGTCTAACCCGTTATTAGCTTTTCGCTAACCCGCCCTGTTATTGGTACACTTGCCTCGACTCTGCATGCTAAATGACATATACAGAAGGATGGCTGCGTAAGCTTTATGTTTTACGTTTGACATTCGGTGAAATTGTATGGTCCTCTTCTCAAAGTAGGTAACTTTTCTAAAAGCTTAACGTCCAGTTCGTACTACTCAACTAAAATATTAGCGTAGTGCGAACAAGGTATAATTACTTTCTTGTGGCTAAAAAAAGTAAACAAGTTATTATCATCTACCAGTTTAAAGCAGTAGATGTCCACGATGATCGCTCAAAGTCACAATTATGACATTCTTAGATCAGACGAAACGTCAGACTTATCACGAAAGAATATTCGGATGTATTTATAGAGGTCTCAGATGACTTGTGAAAAATAAGCATGGATGCCGTGTCGTTACAATAGGAGACGGGTCACGGGGTCGCCAGGTCGCCTGAGGGACCCTCAAACATCCACATATGACACACGCACACACACACAAAATATTTTGTCATCGCTGCACGCGGGACTTATTATTATTTTTAAAACTAAAAGAGGACCTCTTTTCAAGGGGGATCCGAGCCGCGAGCATTTGTCAACAAATCACGTCCCTATACGTTTTTGTGATCGCCAAGATTATTCAACGTCGTGGAAAATTCAACTATAACTGCTTTGATATAGAATATAGTTTTCGTGTTGTCATCAATTTGGATAGCTTTGAAGGTTTATTGAACGTGTATTACCTATGGTTTAGTTTATTATACAATGGTTTAAAATTGTTTCATCGGCTCCATATCATTCATCTACGAATGAATCTACTGCTGAACATTCGTATCTTCTAAATACAACATTTCCTTTTCCTTCAGTTTTCCGCCATAATAAATGAAGCCTACCTAAATTTTGTCTCTAGATTGCAATGCTGTAAACATACATCGAAAACGCATCATCAAGGTTTACGCATAAAAACGTCGTGGAAAAACCAAGTAAAAACTCACTTCAGCATATGGTAATGGCAATTATGGTATTACCTTTCTAAGAATCAATTTGCAAAGTATTCAATGCGTACAAAATTATATGAGAAAACGCAAGTCATGTATCGTCTTATGTCAAAGTTTTGCCAAATATGTCCCGAGACGGTCGAAATGACGGCGGTGCGTGTAATATTTTCCGCCTGCCCGCAGGGAACCACGGTGACACATTACGTCCAAGTGATTTGTGGACCTACAACTTCGTACTGACCTAACCACCATGTGAAATGTCTAATGTAGAAAGAAATTACATACTAAGTTAAGTATAGTGCAAAACTAAAGTTCCTACTAAACTGTGAGCCAAAAAACCTTCTGTAATATTTATGAAGATCTAGTTCAAACAGTAATTTGATTGTAATCAATAATTGAAAATGAAAATCACATAAATCTATTATTACATAATACGTACTATTTGCATAAATAAATCAAATAATATGATAAATATTAACTTCATAATTTTCCGCAACGATATTACCAAACTAAACCTATCGTTCTCAGAATTCTACCATTTTATATCGAGAGCAGCCATTAATATCCGCAAGCTAGAACAAATTTTATCGATAACCAGAAAATCAAACATTTACTTTATCTCGGATTCAAATAACCGGAACACATTTAATTTTATTGCTAGCATTGTAGTCAAACATTTTAATTTGTTATATTAATTATCTGTTTGATTGTTACCCGGGCCCAAATGTGTCCTAAAATGGTGACCAACCACCGAAAAACAGGTCCTGTGATTCAGTGATCCTCTTCTAACAGACAATGATTTAATGGTGCTCCTCAAACCAAGTGGGGCAATTATTTCTTGAGAAAAACCCGCCATCTTCCCAAAACCGCTGCAACTCCTACAAATATGAGAAATTTAGCAATTTCACTTCTAACTCTATACGCAACAGTGGAAGTCTTTAATCTGACGAAAATTATATTAATTTGGTAATTTATCTGTAACTATGTCAAATCATTGATAATATGAACCAAAATTGGTTGGCACAACAATGTACCTACTTGATACGTGAAAGCTAGGGATGGTACACACTGTCTTGAACGTACATCGCCGTCGATTTCCGGACGGAAGTTAATAACACGGCGAACGGACTTCGGTCTTCCGTAGCTATAACAATACAAGACACAATAGTACAGTCAACCAACTTATTAAGTATGCAGGGAAGAAATAAAGATTGGTTCAGTAAGTATGGAGACTATAATTGGTTGGCTATTGAGATAAACAATTATTATAAAAGATTTGACTTTGTTAATAATTTTAGTATATTCTTTTTTTTAAACGTTGCCCCATACTAGGATTTTCTTCTGTGTCGTGGATGCGCCTACAAATATACAATTTCACATACACGTTGTCATCACTATTTGTGAATCACACAAAGAGTTGCTCCGTGCGGCAATCGAACCAGCTACACGCTGCACGGCAGCCAGTTGCCCGCCACTACGCCAACCGTGCAGAATTAACTAAACTGTAATATATATTTAACTAGAGTAATTCTTCTTAGCCATTATCGGTTGTATCAACCGTTTTTTGTTTAAACTACTGGCGTATAATGGAAGAAAAAATCGCCTTTGCTTAAAATATTATTGCACAGAATGTCAATAACTGCCGCTGTCTCTATACTGAATCAATCTCTATTTTCTTCTCTGCATATCAAATCACTTGGCTGACTGTACATTGTCTTGTGTGTTCATGTATCGATGTGTGAGTGCCCAGTTATACTGACCAAGCTATCTAAATTGTGGTCTTTGACGATGACAGTTCGATTCATTTTAAATTGAAATGCAGTGTATGTACTATACCTAAGTACTTGAATTTGATTACTTGGTTCATCTTACATTATAGTAAAGTAATTGGCCGTTAATTGCCTTGTAGACGATGTTTGGGTAAATCAGATTATATAGTTATCGATGATAGTACCTCCGTTGTAAAAAATATTAATAAGCAATCAAAAGTAATTTAATCAAACAGCTATAATTATTATTTCGTTGTTGAGATAATTATTTATTTAATACGACGAAACATATTCCTCTTACAATAGTTGTCCAAAGAGAAGAGTAAAACAGGAAATCAATTACCACAGAGTAAAAACTAAACTAAAAGCATAGATTATAAAATATTGCGCGACAGCACTGCGTGTACAATATAGATTATAAAACCTAATTACAACATTAAAATATCGAAATATCTAAAGTTCTAAAATAGATTCCGAAGTGACCAGTCTGGTTCGTAACTCATAGTTACTAGTAAGTTATTCTTGTAATATTTAGTTTATTCCCTTCTGAAACCTTTATTATCATTTTCATATTACTTAAATAAATCAAACAGAATTAATAATTTAATTTTTGTATTACACAAACAGTTTCAAGAAGAGTTTAATCTTGGGAATCTCGGCGTAATCTTATGATGTACATGTTGTGAACAATTCGTGTTGACAGCAAAAGCGCAGTTATAATTGAGTATGGAGATAACATTAGGCGCGCCTCGAGACAGCTCAGGCGGGAGTAGGCTCTACCGGATTACAGCGCGAGAGGGCGACGAAAAACAAGAAGCCCCTTCGGAATGCAAAGTGGGGGCTTATCTTATAATCATCGAGCGTGTCAACTTATTATTAAAAATCATATTTCATGAGGTCGGGCCAGCGCGACGCGCCGCGCATAATACTGACACCGACGTGCGATATTCCTAACATTAATTTCAACAGACGGAACAACTTGTTGACACGAGGCTCAAACAGGATTTAACTTTCAATTAATAATCACGTAACTTCCTATTGTCTGTGACATTTTTGATGCCTTTAAACAATATTCCCTGTCAGTTACTAGAGCCTAACTAGACGTCCCTCATTGTAGAGGTTTAATAGGCGTGCTTCAGTTAATTTCTGTCAAGTCCTAAATCAACAGAAAAGGCCCGCCATCATGGAACAATGTAAAGTGTTGTAATCTTCCAGATCTCTTGCAAATTATAGTTAAACTTAAGTTAAACACTCTCAGCGGCTTACTTTGTGGTGTACATAATTATACGGGGCATACCTTGAGGGCTAATGTCGACCGAACAATATATGCACCTACGAGGTCAAGTAAATAGGAAGTGTTTTAGAATATCAACTCTTAGCGCAGTCATCCGAGACGGTCCAAGGATTTGTAAAATGAAAAGCGATTTAAAAAATGTCTCGTCCGGGGCGGGCTGGCTGCGTTCCCTCCTTGCTTTTTTTCTTTGCATTTTAAATCAAAATAACTTTATTTTTGTGCGAGTTTTCCACCGTCTTGGCATAATCAACGCGCCGCCCGTAAAGTGTTTAAGACAATTTTGCGGCTAAAAAATGTATTATCACAAAGAACTCGCGTTCCTTTGAAGTGTCGGCTTTCGACAAGCGTTGCTCAAGTGTACACTTGATCTCGTGTGCTCAGTGCTAATTTGGGATTAACTTTATAAAAATATACAATGTGAAGTTAATTTTGGTTGGTTTTTGTGCTATTTATAGGTACATTGTAAAAGTTTTATCTGTTTACGAAAATTACAGTTCACAGATTTTAATCTCAAAGAGCTTGTTTTATTTGCTTTAGGATTTTCAATTTTACAAATGCTTCATAAAGCGACTGCCCAAATTAGCCCTCGAACATAGTTCGTGTTCAACAATAACATTGGCTACAGCTAAAATAACGAGGGAGTAAATCTCATTAAACGATATATACTTTTCCAAGAAATTGTAAATTCTCTGTACATGTATAGAGTCTTTAGCAAGTACTAACTTCGTTGTAAAAACCTGTGTAAAATGAACCTAGTTACTTAGGTTACACCAACGAAAATATTAGAAATACGTACATTGTTGAATTTTGAACATAAATTGCTGTATCAATAATCAAAACGGTATAATATTCTTTAAAAAAAAAAACTAACAAACGTTGAAGTGAGATGTTTTGAAACAGGCCTCTAGGAGAGTTTCGTGCGTCTATACACTGCCGACGTAATCTGTTACAAACGATCTGAAAATTGATAAAAATGGCCTCGTTTTTTATTCACGTACATCTAACAGGGCGGGCGGTAAATCTCAAAGCGGCCGATTTTAATGGACGTATAAAGGGGCGTCATCTCTGTCCATTAAATACCTTTTAAACGTTTGATCCTTTTTTATATTTGCTACCGTAGCGATGATCCGCGAACAGATTGGGGCACGAACCGGTGCTGTTAATTAAGCCTGTATAATGTATCCCCTGTTCCACTGACCTATCGTCCTGTCCGGACATGTGTTCCATTCAAATACATTCCGATTTTTAAATGCCCTTCGAATTTATTCCCTAATTCCCTGAGTGAATGTAATGTGTTTTAATTCGTTTTGCCCAAGACAAGATTTTCCTTTTAACTAATTTATATTACATTTTTCGTTTAGGGTTATTTTAGCTAAAAATGGAGATGTTTCTATGTATACATATTTAAGGTTTTCTCCTAAAACAACTATTTTTGTCCACACTGCATAACAGGACGGAAACTGTATCTACGAACAATTGATATATGCGTGCAGACGTGCACTGTGTGCAGTTGTGCTCAATGTAAAATAAAAAATGATGTAAAATTCATTCAATTATCTGTCAAGTAGCGCACGCCGCGAATAATAAATCACGAAGGTGTCGCAACTTGTCTGCGCCGGTAACCCGTTACACTGCCACTTGGAAAAAATCAAAATGAGGGGATCAGAAAATATAATTTCAAATAAAAGTTGAGTCAGGGGCGGTCACAAGTTTCTTAATTAAAACTTACGTCGGACGACGCGAGGGGTGGGAACTTTGACCCAGAAATAAATAAATAAAGACTGGGGAGGAGTGAGGACATCGTCACGAGTCCCTCATTTATTTGTCTAAGAGAGTTTTGCTCAGTTCGACGGACGTGCCTCATAATCTGCACTCACAACATCCATCTCTGAGTGAGCTAAGCGCGCCGCTCTCGCCTAGCCAGTCGCCGTCTCCGCTGCTACTAGTGCCAGCTTATCTCTTTACCGGTTATTTATTGCTACATTTCCCCTCAAATACCGAACGGGGAGGAAGCCTTTACATTTTACAAATAGACGTTGTACAATTTTCCAGATGTGGTCCATAATAAAATATGTTTGTTTCAGCATTCCATGTTGTACTTCTTCCATCACTACGAGTTACCCGTGATACTACAGCAAGCCCAGTTGCAGCAACTTCTACTCCGTACGCATCGTGGTATGGCTGGCGTTATGGGACTGGCGGGGATCGCTGCCTTGGCAAGCGGTGCAGCTTACCACGACGCACCCGGTACCGGTACGCAAGCTACTCCGCCCACTACACAGTCGACTACACAAACTGTTCAAAACACAGCGCAGTCTACTACGCAGACTTCGCCATCTGTCTCCACCGCACAGACTAACACCACTCACACTGGTGACGTGGTAACAACGAGGCCGCCCGACAGTGCGGTGGAGAACTCGAACTCGGGCGGCGACACACAGGAGAGCGCTCTTGCCGCGCGACCGGCTGACGATGTAAGGAATACTGATAAGGATAACTCTGTCACTCCTGGCGGAGACGCAGACATCAAGATAGAAGAAATCGCTAGAAAAAGAGAAATTTATAATAAACCCAATGTTGCCGGTAATGGTAATTCTGTTAGCAACGTAACTGACTACGCAGCCTTGCCTAGTGGTACTAACGGGGCTACCACTAATGTACCGGACGTCAGTGACGAGGCGTCTACTTTGGATCGTAGACGAAAAGAGAGCGTCGTCGTCGACAATGACGAGCCGCCTCTGGAGCCGAGCGAGGTACCGTTGCTTGCTGACAGACAAGCTCCCAGAGCTTCCCCTGAGGCTGACGATATAGATTAACATTAACTTATTTCGAGGTCATTTCGCAATAATATATGTTAAGTCCGATTAATTGTAACTGCTTTTGTGAACAAGTAAAGGTGTTGCCGTAACGATAACGATTTATATTATAATATCTAGTAGATATTGTCTCGAGAACTTATTAGAGAATTTTATCTTCGAATAAGGTCAAGTAAGTCACAATGCACTACCGACAAAAAGTTTGGAAGCATAATGATTATAATGAAATGAAACGAAAATACAATTTTAATATTAAGATAAAGAAACAAATCGAAAATTATCGTAGGTATAATGTAAAAAAAAAAACAATTTTAACTTCATCTACGTGTGCTCTATTTTTAACTTTGGTCACGTCTTTTGGACTTTATTGCATCTATTATCATCTATTTTATTTAATTGGTACACATACTAATAGTTTCCACACATGTATGTTTTGAGCTTGTCGGGAGTAAGGTACGATTTATATTCTCTTGTCTTTAATATTTCCAGTTTCATATTTTCTAGTAAGAGTGAAGTCAACAGAACAGTCAAGAAGTTCACGTTCACTATAGGTGTATTATCTTTTATCGTGAGTAATAATTACGATTTTCTTGCGTTTTCCAATTTCAAATGAATTATATAACAAATGATTATGTTTATGCTTAAACATTGGTTTAAGACTATTAAAATAATAACAATTATTTATTAGCGAATTTTGTTCACAAAATTTTATTTTGGACAAACATAAGCTCCAAAACTTTTTGTCGGTAGATTATATCGAAGGAGTCTATAAGTAAATATATTGATCAAACAAGGTTCACGATGTTCTTATTTTTTATAGAAAAACTAAAAAAACTTAATTTATGGTATGTTACAAAGGTGATTGTAGTTTAAGAAGCATTCTGCCATTACCGAAATAAAGTAAATCTGTAAATATTTATGGTATTCTAATATTGTATGTATTGGAGTTTTTGTGTTATCGAATTAACGTGTTACTTTTATGCTTAGAGGTTGGCGTTGGAAGTTGGCATACTCTATTCAGTGATTTAGTTTATAGCAATTAAATATTTTTGTTCAAATATGTCTATTATTTCGTAAAATCTCAGTAGTAACACGGAGCCTGAAATTGTGCCCGGTATACGGCAATACAACCCTTATTACATGGGACTCATACATAGTGAAAAGAGGGTGTTACATTGTACATTGGCATTGAGTGCCGTAATGTGAACCTCTGCCTGCCCCATCGGGGATAAACGGCGTGATGTTATGTTGTTGTTATTTCGTAACTTTAATTTAGCTCAATCTTATTTAAGTCCTACTTCAAGAAATGTCTTAGAAGTTACACTTGTCGTCTTACGTTATCTTTCATATATAAAATTACTATTGACGCAATTGTGAATCTATCTTGAGAAGAATGACTACCTACTTAAAGAACTAAAGGTGTATAGAAAATATATTTTTAACTTCATTAAGGGTTTTCGTCGATGTAGCGTTATGCAGGTCGCTCCTATGCGGCTGATCTTGAAGTCTGGGTGAGGCTTATGTTCAGCAGTGGTCGTCTTATGGCTGACGATGATATTACTATTCTTTAAAAAAAGGTTGTTGTAGTTTTATTTTCAAACTAGCCTACCCAAACTTCGTACTGCCTAAAAATGTTTTTCTCACCTTTTAAACCTTCCTTGGAGTTCCGCAAAGATTTGAAGACCAAAACTAGCCAAACCGGAAATTTATTTTTATTTACATATACATATAGACAAGATAATTATGTAGCTTTGTTTCTTATAATAATCTACTTACACAACTTACATAAATACCCAACACATGGGGGTCTAATATAAGATTTTTCATTGTCTCGTGTCGTAAGATTTGGTCACTACCATAGATTTGCGCATAAATTTTAAAACTAAGTACTTTGTATTTGTATTGCACCTACAGTCAGCGCCAAATAATTAATTATTCACATTCATAGTATTGGAACTAATAGATTCATTTAAGAAATCAATGATATTGATGCATACGACATTTTAGTTACCAAAGAAAAGGGATTTACAAAAAAAATATATAATGCTGTGGGATGATAAGTGTGGGAAGTGCCGTGCTTTGGCATGAATGGGCCGGCTCGACCGGAGTGATACTACAGCTTCACAGATACGTCGTGTGAGTGACGTTACCAAGGACCTGAATTCCAACTTCAACATTCTGAATTTCCCCAATCCCTGAATTCCAACAATCATATAAAGGCCGGTAACGCACTTGTAACGCCTCTGGTGTTCCACTTGTCCATGAGCGACGCCGATTGCTTATCATCAGGTGATCCGCATGCTCATTTACCGGGCTTATCCCATAAGAAAAATACATTTTTGTAAGCATGAAAATGTATATTCTTCTACTCGCCAAAATATTCAGAAAATTTTTGCCATCTACTCAGTATTTTGGAGACACAACTGCATGCGTAGGTGAAAAGATAGTTTATTATAATGCTGCTTGTGTTGATTAGTTTGTGGTCATTGCGCTTAGTCCAAGTGAAGTGAATATAATTAGTTCCTATATTGTGCAGTTAAGACGTAGACAATTATGACGTACACGGCCTCCTGAAATAACGACCGACTAGCACTTTGCTATTATAGAGTTATTTTTTCTTTTACTTTCTTCTATGGCAACTGAGTCTCCAAAACTGTGTTGTCGACTATACTGCCAGTGTCTCGAGTAGGTATTGACGGAAAAATTAATGAACCGGCGAACTTAACTTTTTAGTTTTTTTTCTTTGGCAACCGAGTCTCCAAAATGGTGTTGTCGACTATACTGCCAGTGTCGAGTGGTGAGACTTTGTAGAACATTGACACAGACATCGACTCGAATGACATCTGTCATTTTCTTAATTTTAGTAACGTGATACCATTATACACGCACACATAAATAACCTACTGACATTTTGGTGTTTAATCATTTCTAAGTGACATTGTTATCGCCTATTTTTCAAGTCTTTGCTGTACAGTTATCGACGGTTCATTAATGTATCTTTCTTTGTGTAGTTTTGTCTGGCTAACATTATCATTACTTATTTTAATGTCATCTCTTATTAGGTGGCTTTTAGATTTATGAAAACTCAAAAAGTCTAAATCATTCATGAGGTTCTTTCTAAAAAGGATCATTAACTCGTCGAGTACCGGTTTTATAGACACAATTAAAGAACAATAGGTCGCGGTCACCGGTGACCGCTCGGTATTTGACAGATTAAAGAAAACCAGTTTTGAGTAAAAGTACATTTAATGTAATCATCATCATTCGTTTTCAATGCAGATAGGTAGGTACAACTTCGACATTAAAAAAGAATTCAATAATTATGCAACCTTAATAAAAGTAGAGAAATTGATTCACATTTTATTAATAAAAGCTAAAGAAGAAAAATAATCTGTATCAAAGATAAACAAGTCCTTGAAATTTTAAACAAGTTCTAAAAATTTATCTGAAAAATATTGTTGACTTTGAAGAGTTGAAGATCACTGCTACTACCGCCTCTGCTGATGTCTGTAGTCTCCCAGCTAGCATTCTGGATACCTGCGAACATTGTTCGAATATATTACAATTCTGTTTAGTGATAAAAATAGACAAAACACATACCATACACAACAAAAATATATTGGAGAAATGGAGACTTTCAAATAATACCGATATTACGCTAATTTTAAGGTATTGGAATCAAAAACTTATGTCAATCGAAAGGTTTTTCACAAAAGTTTAATTAAGAAATGTGGAAATTGTGATCAGTTGTTAATCTCGACTATGACAAAAATAATGTCAAAATACAAACTTAGGCAATTGCCTGCGTCAAACAGTTACAGTTTAGTAGCAGCGCGACAGTTGCCGGTTCGCGGGTCACGGAAAGCTGCTCATGAATACCAGCCTCTAGAATGGCTTGGAACTAGTCGAGTTCCCCGTCAAACAGTTACGTGACTAAGCCGGAAACATAATAATTAATTTAGTATGTCTCACGAAAGTTACAATACAAACTTAGACAATTAATTTATCAATAAACAAATCATTCAATAAATAGCTTAAATCTTGTCTTGAATCCCATCTTCATCCTTCAAGGACTGTTCAGTAGAATTTCCCCTCGTCAGCTACGTGTATTCTCAAGCAATAACATCTCGTAATGTGTGTTAATTCCCCAAGAATACGCGTGACCTCCAAGTTAGAATGCTCTTCGTCTCTTCAACGACCTGGTACACTTCGGACATATTTTATTAAAGCAGGTCTCTTCATAAATCTTCCAAATTGCCATGATCTAAAGTTTGCCTATGTTATAGGTAAATAATGATGAGTGATTGAATCTATTTGAATGAAGTCTTTGTAAAGCACTCTGAATGATTGTTTGTCGTCATTAAACTATTTAAAATCATCATCATCATTCTTATTTAATTATCCGTATTTATCAAAATATGTAGCAAAAAAATTTTGTACATAAAACATTACTAATACTACAGTTCACATACTTTAGACAGGCACATAATTTTTTGTAACACAAATAGTACATCATCAAATATCAGATAAAAATCTAAACAATGACACAATCAATATTTATTTGTACTTATCTATGAGTCTTATCCGGGGTATGACCCGGGTCGAATTTTCCGACAAGAAGGGCAGTGGGACTAATCGCGGATCGGAGTGCGTCGGCACGAACCGGCTCGCCGGCACATCCGCACATAGCCGCGTAATCCGGTGCCCACGCCGCCGGCCCGGTGCCGTGCCACGCCGGATTTACTGCCGGACGAAACAGACATACAGCTGATTGTCGAGATTAAACGACGTGCGCCCAGCATCGCCACGTTTTAGAGAGATTTACCATTGTTTGGGGAACAATCTGCGATATATTGAAATTGTAGAGCTTTTGTGGAACTGTCATTGATACTGCTACTCAAAAGGTAATTCCTCTCACATGTTTAAAAATAAATCAGCTTTAATGTTTCTTTGAAAAGAACTTATCTAAGTTACATCTGAACATTTCGCTCAGATACTTACAAACGTTTGCAACATCTAACTTTAACGTTTCTTTATCGTTCTTTGTGTTAAGTACTGGCGTATGAATGGGGCAGCTGTTAAGATTTTTCTTTCCATTCAAACCGCTTTAAGCTCTTTTGATCGCATTATAAGAAAATTGTCACAAAAGACTTGTACAAAGTTGTGAAGAGAAAAACGTGTAACACCTTTTTATTCGATGTTTGTTGGGTGGCGCGATCTTTGACCGACAATCAGATATCAGCCGGCGCTGGCTC